TGAGGTTTATACTTGGGCCTTAATTGGGAGTTTTATTGTGATATTCGGGACGAGTCAGAAGGAAATCGAATGAGGGTCTTAATTCTTCTGATCCAAAATATATAGAGCCGGTTTCTAGTTCGATAGCCTGTTTGTGTCAACATTTTCTTCACCTAATACACATAGAATTTATGGTACTTGGTTGTAATGGTTTTACAATCATTCCAGGCTTAGTTGAACCTAAAACAAGCATTATATGTCTCAAACATTTCATGTAATAATCATATTAAGCACACAAAATCAATATGTTTTCAACAATTATCAAAGTAACTCTAGAGACCCGTGGATTCGATATTTATTACTTGTGCCACTATACTGCAATCCCTTTCATTGGTTACACTTGGCCATATTTAGGAGTTGTGTTTTAGCGAGTCATGTTTTTCGCGCCGTTCCGGGGACTTTCTAGATTATTAAGAAAGGAAGAAGTTTGTTAATTTAGCTTTTCTGTCTTTTTCTTTTCTTTTCCACTCTTGCTTTACACTTGGGTATTTTTGTTTTTGTTGGTGCATATCTGAATCACGGATCCTCATGGCTTCTCCAACCATTGGGGGTATCAACCACCATCCATGTGGTATTACCCCGACACTTCCTGGAGCAATCAAGAAGGAGAAGAATATGGATTTGGGTTATAGTATAACCACCCTACTACAAAGAATTATTAGACCCTGGGCATCTCAAGAATAATATCCTTATCTAGAAGAATTCCTCTCATAAATAGAAGGGCCATCAGAGCTGGAATTAGCCATGATACCCTTCACGCGCCATTTTACAAAGCAATGCTACACTCACGGGCAGATCCGAATAAACAATTAAGGCTTCTTGTGGAGGAGATTGCTAGAGACACCGACAGACCATGCTCCACGATGGACCTTCATATCCAAACTATCGCCCAAATTGACTTCTCCTTTTCGCGTGAAATCCTTGAAATAGAGGACACCCTCTGAAACATAAAGAAGCACATAGAGGTCATTGAGAAAGGTTGCACACAGTTTGCTCAAGACAACCTTTATGCTACCATACAAGTAGAGGAGGTGAAAGAAGAAGCCAGTCACGAGGATGTTGACGAGCATATATAAGTTGTCACGGAGAGCTCCCATCATAATCATTATAAAAATGTCCTCTGGTGGCAGATCACACCTTTCCACATCCCACACCGAGCTTTGAAGAGGTGGACATGAGGGAGTAGATGCAAGATGATCTCATTGAAGAAATTGCTTCGCAACTTGCTCTCTAATCCGTGTTCGAAGAAGAAGAGCGACAAAGGGTGAGGAAAGAAGTTGTGGAGGATGAAGGAGTTGCAGTATAAAGATTTTTTTATCTTTCCCAGGGGGAGAGACCACACTCTGAAGAAGGAAGGAGGGTTGAAGATGTGATTGACGTCCAAGCTGAGGACGAAATTGAGGTGGAAGAGGCTTGCACCGGCCATGAGTTACATGTGATATCTCCACTAAACTTTGAGGAGCTGCTTGGAAAGGACTCATTTTCACTTTCTCTTGCCCATTCCAAGGCCACATAAACATCGTTCCTTCTTGGTGGATGCGATGGTGGTCAATCGATGTTATCATATATGGTTTGAGGCAATGAGACGAGAGAAGAAGAGACGAAGAGGTCTCGAAGGTGGAGACTTTATCTACATCAAGTACACAAGCCCACATCACCTCCTACACCACATGCTCGTGACTTGAGACTCCACATAATCGACAAGAAGCTCAATTTCAAGGAGGTTTTGGGGTGGAACAAACTTAGGAGCCACCGTCTGGCTCAAGACGTGAAAGAAGCTCTTGTTGGGAAGCAACCCAACCAGTTGGTTTGCATTTCTTTCCCTATTTCTCTTTGATTGATTCAGTTTTGTTCTTTGATTTTAGAGTAAATAACTCAACCTTTGTGAGATTATGTGTGCTGTTTATGTTCCGACTGCTCTCACTGCTCACATGGACTACACCGCCTGCCCTGTCCACCATAATTCACACTTGATCAGGTAAGTTCGTTCTAACCTTCTTATATTTCCTCCATTGATGACAATGTTGTGCTTAAGCGTGGGGGTATTCCATTATGTTTATGTTTGAATGTTTGGTTGTATATTTGTGCTTGGAGCCTATTTCACTTTCCAAATTTTATGATTTGAGGGCTCCAATTATGTGTTCCTTGCAAATACCTTCTTAGTATGCTCTGAATTTACAACCTTTATAGTAGTATGCAACCTAGGGAGTATAGTGTAGCACTATGGAGAATGTTGATGCAGTAAGAAGTCTTCTTTCTTCTTCATATTGTGTTGGTTGATTGTGACAATTAGTGATCTTAGGACACTTGAATCGTGCAGTATCGATGACTCTACCCATCATGGACTCATGTATCATGTTTTGAAAAAGGTGCACCAAAATGTGCTTTCAAAATAATGTCTTCCATGTGGAAATCGGTGAAAGTGTGCAAGGGGAGACTAGAATTCATTCCCAACTTCCACCTGCTACCTCCAGCTCCCTACGCCTATTTCCCCCACTTAAGGCTTGAGACATCTGCTCCCGACATGACAGGTAAGAACTAGGCTCCCTCAAAACTTTTGATAAGTGGTAGCCCCATTTTCTGCAAATAACAGGTTGGAACCCTTGCAAGTAAAGAAAATATGAACAAACAATAAAATGAAAAAAGGGATAAAAGGGTTCCCACTATCTTCAAAGAAAAAAAAGAGCACTTAAAAAGTTGAGTCCATAATTTTCTGTTTTCTAGAGTTGCTTTATCCACAGATCACTAGAGTTCTCGCCGAAGAAGTTAGGAGATGTACGTCTTGTGCATTGGTTTACCTCGTAAGCTGCTAGATTACCTAGGAAGTCCTCTTCCGACAATCGGGTTTGCATGTTCCTATAAAGGTCTGGAGAGCTGAATTGGTTAGAGTACGGTTTGCTTGAGGACAAGCAAACGATTACGTGTGGGGGAATTTGATAACACTGAATTTGGCCTATTTTAGCTTGGTGTTTAACATACTTTGGCCTATTTTACACTAGGTTGTGTTGCTTTGTCACATTTCAGGTCCTAGCACAGAAAGTGAAGCATAAGCGCAAGTTTCAAGTCAATTGGTGACCCGGGGGAAGAAACTTGGGCATGATCCAAGGAAAAATGGATTTCTATCTCATTTAATGGACAAAGAATAATTTAATCTTTGCATTGAAAGAAATAGGATGAGACTACGAGCGTCTGAGATCAAACAGCAACTAATTCAAAGTTCGGATGAGGGAGAAAAGACCGAGAGACATCAGCCTCTCCAAAGTTATGGGTTGTCGTTCAAAGTTACGGTTGAGACCGTAACTTTGCCATTTTGGCCATAACTCGGGCCACAGGATCCAAACTACATTTCGGAGGTTACTGCCTGAACCCCGAAGAATACAATCGTAACTTGGGGCCATAAATTGGCTTTTGGGAGCAGTATAAATGCGTTTTTGCGAATTTTGAAGAGGGAGAGCGGGGTTTTGGATCTTAAACACCCAAGGGACGAACCAAATAGAGAGGGTAATATATAGATATTCTTGGAGCTATTTTGGAGGATTCTTCACCATTAAAGCTCAAGGAACAAGTCTAAACATGAAAAGTAGCTCATGGACCATCACCTATAATAATGAAATTAACCCGAGCTTGAGCCCATAGAATGTTATGATTATGTTGCATTTTAGACAGATCTTAAAGTGAACTTTGTATTCCTGCCGAAGCCATGGGACGACGTCCCTTTTGTGTGTGATGTTGCTTACATTCAGATTCCATACGACTAAGGGTAGCATTGCAAGTGAAGATAGAATCTAGAAACCTTGAGCTGGAAGTTGTTGTAATGCTTTCCTTTCCCATATGAATTCTCTAGTTAATAGAATTTTAAGTCATGAATCTTTTGTGTGCTTCCCTGTCTTGGATTGGATGTGAACAAAGAAGTTAAAAAGCCACCATTGGTGTGTTAACCAGAGCGATACTTATGCACTGGGGAATGTAGAACCAGAGTTGAACGAAACGAATAATAAGAAGAAGAAGCACAAGAGAAAACACGAACAGCCGAAGCCATGGGACGACGACCCTAACATCGACCATTGGAAGGTGGAGAAGTTCGACCCTTCGTGGAACGAAAGCGGCATGCTTGAAGTTAGCGATTTCTCCACCCTCTTTCCTTCTTAGAGAGGTCTGTTCATTGTTTTCTGCTCGTTGGAAAGTTCTGATGGGAGACCAAAATCGAATCAACTAGAGGAGATCTGTTGATAAGCGCGCCTTCGATGGAATGGCGTCGGCGTCGGCGTTGGAAGGAGGAGAAACGACTTGGATGGAGGGGATCGAGGGGTGGCGGAGAAGATTGCTTGGTCGAAGTTCGGATCGGCGCGGTGGTTGCAGACGAAGAGAACGCCCGGCTGGCTCTTTCTAGGAGGCAGTGAGTGTGAATTAAGGAGACGGGGCTATCGGAGTGAACGGGAAAATCGTTAGGGTTAATTTTTATTTATTATTTTTATTGTGATTTACCCTTTTATCCTTAATGAATCCTACTGTTGTTATAATATCCGCACCCGTTGAATTCATGTGGTAATGGTGACTCTGTTTGAATTGTGTTATGGACTCGTGTATCGAACAGGGTGCTCATGTGGGAAATGAAAAGCAGTTGGTCCTCCATGTCGAAATCATTGAAATCTTAAACATGGGGTAAGCCCAACGTGTGTGGCACCGTTCATTGCACAAAATCGAGTATTGGAAGAGATTTTAGTGATCCTTAGTGGGGTACTCCTACAAGGTGAAGCTAAGTTGTCTCTAGTACAAGTAAAACCATAGCTAATAACAACTTGGACTTAACTAAGGAGCTAGGGGGAATCATACCTAAGTGAGTTCCCAATCTGTAATTAGATTAATTTTAACTGTAGTTTGGTAGAGTAGTTATAGTTCTTCTATCTTAATTAGGTTTGCTAGATAATGAAATGAAGATGAGTAATAATAACTCTAGAGACCCGTTGATTCGATATTTATTACTTGTGCGACTATATTACAGTCACTTTCATTGGTTTCACTTGGCTAGTGGATCTGCCTGTAGCAACACGCCGCGGTTCCCTATGCAAACAGCCGAACTCGGACTAGTCAGTTTAGACCCGTGGCGGTTCTTCCAGGTGTTGCTTGCTCACTCCGCCATCCCCAATCAGGAGTCCTCTGGTCAGGTGACCAAGAGGCACATGTACGCTCTTCTCACCATGTCCCAAGCTCTCGACCACATCAAACTCGGCTCAGTCGTGCGATCTCCTTCTCTTGGGTGAAGAATCACTCGAAGGTGCTCACACTAAACGGGGGCCCCTACATCACTCGATTGGCCCAGTACTTCGAAGTGCCTCTAGACGGGTTTACCTGGGTTGGGCGCAACATAGACTTCCCCGATGAGACCTTGTACTCCATGGGGATGAATTAGGTTATTAGGATGGACCCGTTGATCCGTTGGCTCGAGGGCCTGCGCCTTGCCGATTTTGCAAAGGCGACAAAGGCCGAGGCTGCTGCCGGTGTCGGGCTCCATCACATCACCCTGATCCCAACCTGCTACAATTGTTCCCATGTCCCTCTGGTGCCGGTTCTTCATCAGCTGCGTCGTCTGACGATCGTTTGGCGACTATGGAGGCTCGCTTCAACCAGATCGAGGCACCATGAACCATGAGCGTGACGCCTGCCTTTACGCTCATTTCTTTATAGAGAGCCTGTGCTCGGAGACCGACATGGACACCACCAAGACCTTATAGCACTCTTCTCCTGACCGGGATGCTAAAGAGAATGATTGACTCTATGTATTGTTTTATGTGTCTTTGCTTTTGTGTGTAGAACTGGATATTTTTGTGTTTTGTTTTTCTTTTCTTCTTTTTAAGACATGGGGATGACAACTGTTATCCTAATTCTTAACTAGTGTGAGTGGTTTTGTTTTTTCTTGCCTGGATTCTCACCAACTGGTCCCTCTTCGAGTCTGCTCATGATGATTGGTCCGATATCCAGTCCTACTGCAGTCCGTTTTTCCCGAAACATCTTCCCCTTATCTTTCCCTCTTCTCCGTTGAGGGCAATGTCGATCTAAAGTGCGGTGGTGTTTATCTTGGACTACTTAGACACATTTGTGTGCTTGGAGCCTAGTTCACTGTCCAAGCTTTATGATTTCAGGGCTCCAAGCACGTGTTCCTTGCAATTGCCTTCTCATTATGCTTTGAATTGACTACCTTTATAGTATGCAACCTAGGGAGGTAGTTGTAGCACTATGGAGGATGATGCAGTATAAGGTCTATCCTATATTTCTCTTTGTTGTGTCGGTTGATCGTGTGAACTAGTGGCTTTAGGACCTTTGATTCATTTGGTATCGATGACTCCCCATGTGTTGTGTTGTGGACTCATGTATTGTAAAAGGTGCTCAGTTGTGCGTAATTAGACGCAGTTGGTCCTCCATGTTGGAAATTTTAAACATGGGGTAAGCCCAACGTGTGTGGCACCGTTCATTGCACAAAATCGGGTCTAGGAAGATATTTTAGTGATCCTTAGTGGGGTAGGCCTACAAGGTGAAGCTATATTGTCTCTAGTACAAGTAAAAATTCCACCTGTTGAACAGTTTGCCTACTCGAGGATGTGTTTTTAAGGGCACGGATAGAGCTTCCAAACCCCCTACCCCCTTAATTTCATTGACCCTCCACACGAATTGAAGAAAATGAGTTAAAAGAAGTACTCTGGCGAGCGACATATGTACAGAAATTGCTCTTGATCAACCAATAAGGATCGACCGTTCATAAAAACTGCAGGGTGGAACCCCAACAAAGTGTGAATGCAAAAAAAAAAGGAAAAAAATAATAAGGTGAAAGGGGTTGCAACGAATGAAATGAAATGAAATAGCACCCGATACAAAGAGTCCTTGATTGTTGTGTTGTGTGAGTCTTTTTATCCATGAATTTTCTATGCTAGGTCCACTACTTCGCATGATCCTAGTTTGAGTATAGTACTCGCATGAAGAGAAATTGGGCATGTCTTAGAAAACTGGTTGACCTCGTAAGCTGCTAAATAACCTAGGAATTTCTCTACCAATGACTGGGGTTACATGTTGCTGTAAAAAGTCTGGAGAGTTGGATTGGTTTGAGTCAGGTTTGCTTGGGGACAAGCAAACGGTTAAGTGTGTGGGAATTTGATAACACCATATTTGGACATGTTTTCCCCATCATTTCTTGATCGTTTGAGCTCGCTTTCTCACTCTCGTAGCCTATTTTATGCTAGGTTGTGTTGGTTTATGATGTTTGAGGTACGCGAGTTTTGAGACGTTTCGGACCAATCAAGCAGAGAGTAGGGAAAAGTTACGGGAAGACCTTGAATGTTACGGTCTGGACCGTAACTTCCCCATGCAGCCCGTAACTTTTGAGGAGCAAAAGCCATGGATTTAGAAGAACTTTGAAAGTTATGGTCAGACCCTTGAAGTTACGGTCTGGACCGTAACTTACCCTCCATGCCCGTAACTCTGATGAAGCGAGGCTAAGGTTCCAGGAGCATTTTTGAAGTTATGGTTTGCCCCTCAAAGTTACAGTCTCAACCGTAACTTCTCTATGGGAGCCGTAACACTTGGTTTACGTAGTGTAGAACGTCAATGTTTTATGGAGAAGAAACAGGCTGGACAAGGGCACCAATTGAACGGTTTGCCTACTCGAGGATGTGTTTATAAGGGCACGGATAGAGCTTCTGCCCTCCCCCCCCCCCCCTAATTTCATAGGCCTACAAAAGTTTCTCTTGCTCGCCTAATAAGGGGCGACCGCGCATAAAAACTGCAGTTGGAACCCAGCAAAAAAAAAAGAAACAAATAATAAGGAAAAGGGGGTTCCAACAAGTGAGATGAAATGAAATAGCACCCGATACGAAGAGTCTTTGGTCGTTAAATTGTGTGAGTCTCCTTATCCATGAATTGACAGTCTTAGTTCCACGGCTTTTCATGATCCTGGCTCGCATTGAGAGAGATAGAGGACGTCTTAGAAGACTAGTTGACCTCGTAAGTTGCTAAATGATCTAGAAAATCCTCAACCGACGATCGGGGTTGGTTGTTGTTATAAAGGTCTGGAGAGATGCATTGGTTTGAGTCAGGTTTGCTTGGGGACAAGCAAACAGTTAAGTGTGGGAATTTGATGACTCGATATTTACACATGTTTTTGTCCACCATTCTCATACTGTTTGAGGCTCGGATCTCTAGTTTTGAGTCTATTTTACGCTAGGTTGTTATTGTTTATGACATTTCAGGTCCTAATGCGTGAATGAATGTTTGAGGCATGAGTTTGGGGTCGATTGGGCGAAGACGGAACGAGCGATGGACAGCAGACGACTTGCACGGTCCTTACGGGAAAGAGCACGGCCGTGCATCACCCTTTTGCGCGGGCAAGGCGGTACGGGCAGCTAAGGATGAATTATTTTGGTCGTGTGGGAATTTTTGAGAATTCGCACGACCTGACATTGTTTTCCCACGGCCGTGCACGACTCATTTTCTGGCCGTGATGAATTATTTGAGAAGTTACACGACCAGACTCTCGAATTGTACGGGCCGTGCAATGGACGTGCACTCCCCTCGCTGAACTAATTCAAACGTTGTGTTTTTGCGTGCACGGACAGCTAAGGAGGTTGCACGGCCGTGCGACATGACCGTGGAATCGCGGGCAGCTACATTTTAACCTAATTTTGGGTTTTGGAGAGGGGGTTCTACTTTTTGAGCAAAAAACAGAGTTCTAGAGAGAGAAAGTGCGAAGAACAAACCCTAGGATCTATTTAGGGTGGATTTCTCACCATTGAAGCCCAGATTACATCCCCAAGAGTGAAGATTGATATCCCAGAGCAGATTATTCCCATATTTATGAGTATGACTTCTTTAATATCCCAGAGCAGATTATTTTCCATTATCAAAAGTCTGAAAATCTCAATAATCTACTACAATTCGTGGCTTACAACTTTTTAAATAGGTATGGAAAATAAACCTAATGATAACACCAAAAAGGAAAAGAATCCTAAACGAAAAAGGTAACAAAATTCGAAATGACCAAAAATCCGGACAAAATACATGGTCGGGTATTTTACAACATTGGGCTGGGGTGCTTCTGACCTCATTATTCGGTCTCCTATTTGGATTCCCCGGTCGGGGATTTTGATGATGTCAGTCAGGGTCTGGGGCTTGTGCCGAATCACATCACATGGTCTTTTTGTAAGGGCGGGAGAATTCATTTCTTTTCTTGTATTGTTTATTTTGATTGATCTGTAATTCAAGGGCACTCTTCCTAATTCGAGTTTGAGATGGAATAAGACCCAGACGTAGAGTCCCGTTTATTACTTACTTACCTTATGCTACACCCAGTCCTTGGTTAAATTGGCAATTCATGGCAGCTTCAGTTTTCAAAGGCCACTACTCCCAGTCAGAGTAGTCAAAATCTCGATTTAAATCCTAAAGTCCTATGCTTTTATGATTTTACTTATCTATTCCGATTCTGATTTCACTATAAAATCTAATGACTTAAAATTCTACACTATCCACGATTTAAATGTTTAAAATCTTACGATTTTACGATTCAAATCTTTGAGTCAATTTTACTTATTTTCCCCAGAATTTGAAAAATTAAGCCTATTTTTCTTCTCCTCCACAAACATCATCTAGTTCTCTCACACTAACCACCATCGACTAAAATCAATTCACATCAACATATTAATCATAATCGATTCACCACCTCTTAACATTAACCTTGATAAACTGGAACATTAACCATGAAAAATTATCATTGTAAGTGTAATGTGCTTTTGTGTTATTCATGATTTTCCTTACTAATATTATCCCGTCTTAATTTTTATATGGATCTTAATATCCTACAATTATACGATTCCGATTATACCCCATTTTCGATTTTATGTAAAATCCCCATTTTGACTACTTTGCTCCCAGCCAGCTAGTGTGACTTCCTCGATTTGGAAAAGGATTGTGTTAATAACGACGAGGTCACACCAGTAGCCATGTTCCTCCTCTCCCTCTCCTTGCGTGTTTCTCGATGGACTATTGGTAGAGATAGACTGGTCTAGCCCCCCTTGTCATTTTGTGAGCAAGACTTGATTTTTGGGATGATGATTTATTGCTTTTTGGCTCTTTTGGGTTTTAGTTGGAGAGCATTGGGTGCTAGACTCTTACTCTCTAGCATCTAAATGGAAATGGTCTGACAAGTTCAATTGGCCTATTAGTAACATGTTAAAGTATAAATACCTTTATGTAATTGGATGACTACATTGTAATTAAGGTTATCCTACATCTATGGATGAAAATTACCGACCCATGAGTAATTTTACCTAAATTCAAGTAAACCAATTAATTATGCATAGAGTATGAGTGAAGCCTATGTGGGTTTGAGGTTTTGTAAAAGGCTTTGGGTATGGTACGAGTATTGCTTCCATGCTCTAAATAGGCATGGGTTGAGTATGGATGTCCATTTACATGAGGTTGTTTTAACTACACATACAAAATTTGACCTATTTGTGAAAACATAAAAAATTTAGGTATCAAAATATAAAAATAAATTTTTTACGTAATAAAATGTTATTTTCTATAGATATTTTGAGGAATAATATGCAAAAAAAAAAATCACTAAATCTAAAGATCTATATATTAAGTTTAGATACCAAACTGTAAT